AGAGAATAAGCGGTTTCAAAAACATTTATTCTTTTAAATTCTACTCGTAACGAAAATTATTGTTTGGATTACGTGACATTCGCATTGCGAAATCGAACACTTCAATATTTATCAAGCCATTTGAAAATGCGTATACAATTTAATCAATACCGAAGTTTCAGTGTGATTCATATCGTCTTATCTCGACATCGACATTTTTGGTTCGAAATTTCTCATTTTTTTTTTTATATTCAATGACACACTTACTACACTTGCCATGTCTTTTATTCTTAAAATTCATTAAATTAAAAATGAGTCAAATGCGTACGATTCAAACGCATAAAAATTAAGTACGGAATGCACCGGAAATGAGACGATACACAAATAAACGGCGTTTTGGTTTGTCAAGAGACAATTACATGGATTTAAATGCACGCACGCACGCAAAGAAAGAAAAAATCGTTATAAAATTGACAAACAACACAAAATGCCTAAGTTATAGCCGCAGGACTAGGTCACGTGTATCAACCGCAAATATTGAAAGGCTCATTTCAATGTTGCCTCGACCGCTCATCCCACTCGCAGTCGCACCCATCGTGATGTCATTGTGATTAAAGCAAACGACACACACAGAAAATAACTACGAAAGTTTGTTCAAACAACAACTTAATCCTTGTCTACATGACATATTTCATGAATGGGTAATGTGCATCCGTTGATGATACAAACTCTCGAAGAGTTCCAAATATCGCTATTGCCCATGGATAATGCAAAGAAAAATATATTCCAACGACGACAGGAGCAATGGCGGTGGCGTGGACGACGACGACGAAAATGCAAAATGTTCTTATTTAATGATAGAATACAGACGGGAACGAGAGACGAAAACTGATTTCGTTAATTGGTTGTATGCTCCTGCACTGTTCTTTAGCCATGTTGCTAGACACACAAGCGCATTCAACATTGTTAATTCAGAATTCAGAGTATATTTGAAACACCAGAAACGAAATTGGTGAGATTGAGAGTGTCGATATGAAGAGAACGAAACCGAACCATCTAAAACCGAACTGAACGGAAAATCGAAATCTTGCGCCATTCACAAATCTGAAATTATATGGTCCCCCTGGATGCTGTAGATCAAACGCAAATTCTCCAGAACAATCCCAATAATAATGAAATGTATAGGAAACGAGAGCCGAGAAAATGAAAACCATTGCACTGAAAACAAACTATTTACACGTTTGACGCGACCAGGAGTGGAAAAATGGAATTGAGCTACCGAAGCGTCTATAATTTATAAATCGAAATAGAGAAACCGAGAGAGAGGGAGAGGGGGAGAGAGAGAGAGAGAGAGAGAGAGATACAAAGACCTATTTTGATTGTGTTTGTGGGCTTTGCACCAAAATGTTGTGCACAAATTTTCATAATTGTGACTTGTTCTGCACATTGCCAAAGTGCATTGGTATACGACAACGACAAAATCTCAATTGCAAAAATCCCCAAATCTTTTGTGTGTTCGGCAATTCACTAATTGCGAGTAGCGCACGCGTATGCAATCGGCGCTCTTTATGTGACGCCTGCATTCGACTTCTTCATCGTTGTCGTTGAGTATTTTGTTGTTGTTGGTTTGGTTGCAGCAGCACTCTCTAAAATTGATTTTCTTTCCACTCGGTTTTTCTCGCAATTTTCTATGCAATTTTTTGTTATCCTGTTGGTTTGTGGCTTTTTTTCTAGCTAACGAGTGGTAGTTGGGAAAAAAATTAAGGGTTAAATTGGAGTATTGAATGGCAAATCGAATGTGTGCGTACCCTCTCGATACAATTAATTTTCCGTATGCAAGCGCAAGGGTTTCTCTTCTCAGTCGACAAATCAATCGACATTCTCAAAACGATTGACACAAAGTGAAAGAAAAATGAATTAAAAAAAAAAAAACTCAAAAAGGCCAAGTATGGTAGTTTAAGTAGTTGAAAGAAGTTGCATTTCCGACATTCCATTTCGGAGTAGAGTGCAGCAACGAAAAAAACGAAGAATTTTTATAATAAAAATAAAGTGTTTGCATGGACCAATCAATTTCCATGCATTATTAAATTCGAGCATTTCGAGTGCTTGTTAAAAATTGAGCGATTGGACAGAAGAAGAAGAAGAAGAAATCGAAATCGCTTGAAATGGACTTGGCTTTGTCGAAGCGAATCAGGAAAAAAAAAACAACAACAACTAAAAACCACACTTCACCTGCAATGGCATCAATGCAGACGCCAGAAAAGATCAAACATCAGCCATACACATAATTAGAAAAACGGTTGGCAGAAGGAAAAAAAAAAGCGGACAAGGCCCCCAAAATTGATTCCAAAAATTTAACGAATTGCTTTTTCTTGATCAAAAGAGAGCTCAAGCGAACGAACAGACGTGTGCATGTATTGATTTGCGGCTGAGAGAAATTGGTAAATTACATGAAAAAACCGCAACGACAACCAGAAAAATGATGAATAAACGCACAATGTATACGCAGAGAAAATCTGTCAAAAAACCAAACGTAGCCAGACTTTTTGTGTTTTGGGCTTAAGCAAAAAATTCAACGCCTCAATTATACAAATCAACACGTAATAAACGTTTGGCTGCACACATTGAAAACACAGCATATTATGCAGAAAATAAAAAGAAGCAAAACATAAGCAAGAGAGAACGAGAAAGAGCGAGAGAGATCAACTAAAAAGCAAATAAAAAACAATTATATTTGCCACACGAAACCGCGTGGTACCTTGGCTCGTAAAACAAAACACACAATGACGACGTCGACTACGACGACGGCGGCGATGATGATGATGGTGGTGATGGTGTGTGCATATTGGCCACTCTCATTCATACCATTTTTCGAGAGACTGTACACAAATACACATACACAAGCGAGGCGTGTGAATGTAAGGTAAAAAATTCACGGGCAAATCATCGCTCGCGCGTTTAAGTACCATTCAATTAACAGACGATTGTTTCGACATTTGTTTAGTTCGACTGGCTGGCTTGTTGTTATTATTGTGTTTGGTTTTTTTTGCGCGAGTCATCGGCGTTTTGCATAAGTGTGTGAATGTTTTGAATATTGCATGTGTGACCATGATTTCGATTGCTAGCTCTCTTTCCTGCACATACACACACACACACACATATATATACTTTGTGCCAAATCAAAGTAAACAAACCACGCTCAAAAAAAGATGCGACAGCCACAGAACGTGAACTGATTGAATGTGTGCTGTTGTGCAGCGAAAGGAACACGAAGAACGAACAAACAAACTGAAGAATCAAGAGAGAAAAAAACGAACGCGAAGAAAGAATAAAATGGAAGGAAAAGAAAACGAAAACGAAAAATAAAATGAGGCAAGAATGGAATGAAACGACGAAATGAAGTGAAAGAAAGAAAAAAAAAAGAACCAAAAAAGGCGAAGTAAAACGCTTTGTGGTATCGCTGCAGCGGTAAAAAGGGTAAGAATGACCCCAAGGCAAATTCGATAAATTGTCTAAAACAACATGTATATCATTCTCACTTTCTGTTGCTTATTATTATTGTCAGTGCGAGGAGATGTGCGCACCATGTAGTTTTTCTCACTCGATCCCTAATCACGCACACCGCAATTCACTGCTCTCGTGTGTTTTCCACTGTGTTCTCTTCGCCTTTTTCTCTTCAGTTCTCTCTCTCTCTCTCTCTCTCTCTCTCTCTCTGGCTGTGCTTCTTAAATGTTTAATCACGCTCAAACAGACGGTTCTCTTACCACGCCATTTCAACATTGCTCATTGAAGCAATGTATATTTTAAGACAAATTATAATCGACAGTTTTCTTTTTCGTTTCTTTCGTTTCGTCTTCTCTCCACCCTGGACTTCTGCATCTCTGCATAAACGCGTGATATGCTCCACAGTATTTTAAGTGGATTCAGTCCAACTTCTAAAACACCAACAACAACGACAACAACAGGAGTAAAAAAAAAAAAGTATAACAAAGAAACAGAAAAAAATGATTCCAAACAAGAAATAATCGAGTGCAAAGCAAAATAGCTGCAAGGTACCCAATATCATTATGTGTTTAACATGATTCAACAAGGGAAAAAAAATGAACGAATCCACTGGCTTCCATCGAGATAATATTTATCACACTCGATATTAGTTAAGATCATATCCCAATAATGAGGCAGATTACCATTCCGAACGATCGCAGCTCGCGCAACAAATAGTTGAGTCGATCACGAAATCCACGGGCAGGATTTAACAACAAAAGAGTGAAATGATACACCCCAATTCATGGCCAGTAAAAAGTAATAAAATGGGATAGAGAACGAGAGGCGAAGCCTTCGAAAATCAAATTAATCAAAAAAAAGTTTATGTGCACGGTCAGTGTACCGAAACGATTCTCGCGATCCATTCTTCACGCCACATAATTTCTTTTTTTCATTCGTGGGTTTCATAGTTGTATTGAGCACGAAGTGCTCATAAATGGTGGCCTAACCGCGCGTTACATTCAATAGCCAATTGTCGATTTTCATCCGTTACTCATTACACGTTATCAGAAGTTCTCACAGTTTTCTGAATCGTTGTTTCTACGTTATTGATACTGATGTATCATCACAATGCTCACATTTCAGAAGTTTTTTTCTACAATCCATTCGTTTTCTTCTCTTCTTTTTATGATGGACGCGATAAAATGAAACAGAAAAGAAACGAATTTTCTACTCGAAAATTCTCACTTTGAAATTCATTGCACCTAGGTGCAACCTAACACTCAAATACTTATGATTCCGACGATTTGCAGCAATAATTGCTATGATATGAGACCATTGCTCATAACTTGAAAGAATTCAAGTATTTTTTTTTTGTCTTTCAGAAAATGAAATGAATAGATTTTTATGGAAGAAAAAGAAGCAAAGCTTAATGTTAAACCAGATGAAACACCAATTAATAGTTGCATCTCCCGTAGAAACAGCCTAAATCAATAATGAAATATTTAATCAATGATATTCTCTCTTTTATTTTACAGGATTATCCAGACCACCAATCTATCCATTTCCAACTAGTCAATATGCATATCCAATGCTTAGTCCAGACATGTCACAAGTAGCAGCTTCATGGTAAGCCATTACAAATTTCCATCCATTTTTCTGCTCTACGAAGAAAAAGATCAACAAAATCGAGAACTGAAAAAAATGGCAACCGAACAATGCCACGATTTGTTGAACATTTTTATCTATTTTGAAAGAAAAAAACGGTGACAATTCAATAATTTCATCGGAAGAAATTGGACAAAATAATTTTTTAGTTGCATCATTATTTCATGTTCCAATAAAATTACCTTCATTTTATATAATTTAAGTTAACATTTCATTTTCAGTTGTAGCTTAGCTTCATTTTGCATTCGAAAGTTTTTATGTTTAAACCCATTGACTTTGATTTAGAACAAGTTAATTTTATGTTTTTTTATTTCTTTTTCATTTTGAATTTATTCATTTCTTCAATTTTTTTTTTCGGTTATGTCCTGTTCACCTCCCGTAAAAAGGCATACACCAACAGTGTATTCGACGGCAAGTGGTTTCCGAAGCTCATATCCAACGACATTACCAATAAACACATCATTACCAAGGTAAAAACAAAACCACTGAACCCACTACAATTGACAACATCTTTCTTTCCTTCATAAATCATGCAAAACACCCCATTCACCAGAATAATTAAGCCCAATTTACCGGCAATTCCACTATCACCACCCCACTAACGTTCATTCATCATTTTAAATGCTATCGCAATAAAAAAAATCATTAAAATATTTCAAATCACTTCAGAACGATATTCATTTGAATTTAGTTTGCGTGCACAGAATTTAATCGGAAATGCACCACAAAATTGTACATTCCTTTTCACGAATATGTCTCGAATAATTCCATACATGATGAATTTAAATTCAACATTGTTTAAATTGAGTCTACGGACGAAAATTCAAAAAAAAAATTCCGTTGGTTGTTTTGACAAAACGTTATTTTTAGTTTCATCATATTCGCCCACAACACACGTGTAAATACAAAAATTGCACCTCTCCTCCTTTGAACTGGAATGAATTTTCAATTTTTTTTTTTATCTCTTTGCATTGCTCTTAGTTGAATAATCTTTTTTTCGTTATTATTTTATAGACGGTCGCATTTTACTGTTTTATTGTTTAATATTGTTGTCTTGTGGTTAGCTTATTTGAATGGGCAAGCGGAATAATGAAACGTAATTCTGTTTTTAAATGAAGTGCCTCTGAGAAAAATTTTCAGTAAAAAAGCCCCACAAAAATATTGTCTGAATAAGATTTTCATACAAATTTTTATCAGACAATATTTTTGTGGGGCTTTTTTACTGAAAAATTTTCTCAGAGGCACTTCATTTGAAAACAGAATTACGTTTCATTATTCCGCTTGCCCATTCATTTGTTCTGCAAGAAGTGGAATTTCGAGACAGAGAAAGTGTGTGAGAGAGAGGAGAGAGATAGAGAGAAAGAAATATGAATCCGCAATCCGTGCATAATTACACATCATAATTTGCCGGCGTTAGTTTGTGTGTGTGTGTGTGTGTATTGCAAAAATGTAAATGAAATGCAGCACAGTGGATTCGTTAAGTTGGAAAGCATAAATGCCGTCGGCATGAAAATGATGCTTGTTTATTAATTTACGCAAAGAACTAACAGCGAGGCGCGCGGTGAATCGTCGTATCTCAACAGTAGTCAAAGAGTTTGTCAAGTCACCGTATTAATAAAATATTCAACACATTGACTTTGTCAACTGGAAATGTGTCCATAAAGTAACTCGATTTTAAACAATAAATGCAAGAGAAGCAAAAAGAGAGAAAAAAAGCAACGCCATAACAACAACATAAATTGAAATATTTAAATAGAGAGTAAGAGAGTACGATAAACCAAACGGCAAATTGCAATGTCATGGGGGTATTGAAAACCGCATGATGTAAAAGCGACAGTGAATGTCGGTGTTTCATTGCGGAACTTTCTATTGCATGTGTGCGTGGTTTTTTTTTTTTTTTTTTGCATCAAAGAAAACAATAAAGTGACGGACCGACGGAAATCCGTAAATCGATAAATTTCTCAGTGATACACACACTCAATTCGCATAAATATTCTTTCTTTTATGAAATTTGAACAGTTGAGACACGCATAAAACGCGCTACGGCCACCATTTATAAGTAGAATATTATGCACCCGAAACAAAATTGAATTAAATGCAAGTTCTGCTCGAAGTTTATTCTTTTCTTTCTACTTCACTTTTGCTCGTTCTTTTTCACGTCTCTTTGTGTTAAATTTTCTAGTTTTACCTATTTTTAAAATGTAAGCATAAAAAACAAAACATTCGCACATATGCTGCGGTCGCACACACACACACACACAGCAAAGAAGCCGTTGAAATTATTATTAAAACGAAACCGACGGCAATGTCACACTTGTCATTCATGTTTTAACTCTCTTTCCTTCTATTTGCGTTAATTCCCTTTCAACGTCTTTGAGGCAGGCGAAACATGTCTTTTTCACCCTGCTTTATCGTCGCTTTCGAAAAGAAAACTCTGTCAAAACGGCAATTCGGCCATGTCCCAAGCGAACGCTGTCGCTGTGTTACCCTCCCCGAATAAACCTTTCTCCTCTTTCTTTGTTTTCTGTTGGTTTATTTTTCCATCATTTCAGAATTAGCCGAGCCACTTTCTATCTCTCATTTTTGTGAAAGTCAGATACACAAACACTGATTCGTTTCGAAACTTGGAACGATTCATCATCATTTATATACCATTTGCAGGTTTACTATAGCGTTCCCATCTTTTCTCTGTCTCTTCCCAATTTCGCAGTGATTTTCCATTTCGGTTTTCACCTGGTTTATTGCCTTCAGTGCACACATCACATCATCATGTACTAAATTCACATCCAGCTATTGTGACACCGGGACCAAAACAAGACATTGTACAGGATCTAAATCATCGATACGGCAGGTAAGTGCATTTTGACAACACTTCTATTATTTCATTTAGTTTTTATACGTTGGAAAATATTAAAACCTTTGGCTGATCAGAAATACATTTATCACGACGACAAATTACGTGACAAACATCGATTTAAGAAGTGACATCATTTATGTGTTGAAATCTTTTGTTTCCGAACAGTTTTGTTTAAATTCAAGTTTCAAGTCGAGATATAGCTTCAATCGAAAAGAATAAAGAAGTCGAAAGAAGCATAGAAAATTCGGCTCAAAAGTGAAAATTTATGCTTGTTTCACAAGCATCAACATAATTTCCATGAAAAGTGATAAGAAAAGTGCAGTTTTCATTTAATGGAAAAAATGTTAAAGAAAAAACAAAACGAAAATACTTCAATAAAACCAGATGTACAAACGGATACTGACGGGAAAATTCAATTATGAAAAATAAGTCCACCACTAATACCACTAACTCCATCTAAACGAGAAAATCGTGTGTGAAGGTGAAGCGAATGTGTACGGGATCGACACGAAGTACGTGAGTATGAGGTATGTATGTCGAGAGCGTTCACCCCTTGTCTCTCATGTACGTATTGTTGAAGTTTTCGGCGGTTTGTCGGTTGGTCGTGCGTGCAACAAAAGTTTGGGGGTTTGCGTCTTGGCTGAAATAATCGAAGCGAAGAAATCGGCCGAGCTTTTTTTTTATCTCGGGTATGATAAGATGAGGCATCCTGTGAAATGCTCTGTAATGAGAGATTCTTTGATTTTCCACAAGAGTTTCTCTTTTTCAATTATCAACGTTATTATACTATAAAAATAATTGGTGAATACATTAAAAAGCGAAAAAATCGCAATTGATTGCGACGGCGATTCATCAATTCATCTCGACAGAATCCAACAAAATGTACATGAATATCATCAAAATGTATGAATGCATGTGGAAAGACCCATTAAAAATGAATCCTGTGTATTTATCTGTAGTATATATATCTGGGTTTTGATGGACGACCACCAGAACATCTTCGACGACAACGCTGAGCGAGCGAGCGAGAGCAAGCGATGGTAAATGAGGTAAAAAGCGCAAGCGCCTCATACCGATAAAGTGCAATGTATATGTTATTTATGGAAATAATGGGTTCATCATAAGATTGTGCAATGTAGCGTATTTATTATTAGCATTTTGTGCACAATGATGAGATAATTCCTGTTTCGAACGTGCCTCGCACACACATACATGAGCAATGGTGTGCCGCTGTCGCCGCACTGTACTGCTGCCACGCGCGCTTCTTCGTTCGCTATGGTTGCTGCACGCGTGATGAATGGTAACAGCAACAGCAGCAGCAGCAATATCCTCAACAAACCCATACACAAACACACAATCATCGTTTTGGGGATGAAAATTATGGCGAATCTGTTGACAATGGCAAGATGAACGCACTTTAACACATAGACAAAATCACGGTGGATTTATGTGATAGCATGAAAATGTTCATATTTTTCGGAGCGGAAGGTGGCGTTTAAATACAACAACAATGAAACAGGTACCAACAAAGCGACAAGCCGCGCATCGAACTACCAACCAAAAATGATGACAACAACAACAAAGTGGAGAAATCAATCAAAAGACAGATGCAATGCGAAATGAAATATAGGAAAAATCAAACGCAACAAACGAAATGAATCGAATTTTTGTCTTGCTTTGATGGTCATAAATTTAAATCAACCGACGATGAAAAAGGCAATCTTGCGAAAACTCAACGACCAGAGATGATAGATGCTATGAAAATCAAAGATGCCTGCCAAATGTCATCACATACTTTAGCCTTTTGGCGTGGATGTGAGAGAGCGAGCGAGAGAGAAATGCGAGAGAGCATTTAATCAATTTGATAAAATGTTTGTTGACTGTTGATGTGACTGCGAAATCCCTCTCTGATATATCTCTCGTGATGTGTTCGAGTGGCATACTCAATTTCAATTCCTTTTGGCGAGCGCACAAACGTGTGATGATTCTGTGCTGCTGCTGCATGCAATCCATTTGATCCGTCACTGTATATGTATGTGTATGATGGTGCGCGTGTATGTATGCGATATCCGCGCGTTTCGTGTGCCACTAGAGCCAGTGTCAGTGTCAATGGTCGTGTGAACAAACAAAATCAAATCAAAACATTCATTTCATACGGTGAAAATAAAATAAAACCATTACAACTCCAGAACGATTAATAGTCTAAAAGAAAAGCAAAATTTTCGTTTGGAATCATTCACCAAAAGATAAAAACCACCAAACCATTAAAAACTAAAATGTGTGTGATCAATTGCTGCTTTTTTTTCATATAATAAATCATAGATATACAAAAAAAATATTGCCATTCATAATTGTTACAGTGGAAAAGTGAATCTCGTTGTGTGAAAACAAAGCAAAGCACATTTTCCTTCCTCGATCTTCATCTCATTAATTGTCATTGACAAAATCGAAAAGATAAAAGAAGAGTGTTATCTATTAAGTATTCATTTGGATGCGAGAGAAGAATTTTGTTTGTGTTGAAAATCTTTTGTTTCGCCGGGATCTTTGTTCGATAAGGAGAAAAAAAAATGTTAGGCTCATGAAAAACAATGAATTATCATTGCGAACAAGCCACAGAACGAAAAAAAGCTAATAATCGAACGACAAGTTGTAAATGCATCAAGTATGTTTGAGATAAAAGTGTTGAGAGAGAGAGAGAGAGAGAGGGAGTGACAGAGATAGAAGCATTGGCAAATGTTGAAATCAAAAGAGTGGATCGAAATCAGCATACGATTGAAATAAAAGAGTTAATTTCCGACTTTTGTCTATTTGGAATGATGTTTGTGTTTTCCTGTCGCACATACGGCCACCGCATCGCTCTCTCTGTGTGCTGATATGCGTGCGTATGTGTATGTGCATGTATGTATCGTTGCGAGAAAGAGAGAGACGTATTTGCAATTGCCGTGCGATTTATCCCAGAGTATGTTATTTTGTCAATGTGTGTATGGGATAACGAACAACGTATGCATTCAAATTTTGTCGTTCATTGTCTCTGCCTGACATTGTATACGCGTATCCTCGCACAACCACACGGGCACAAATGAAGAAAATGTGTATGGCGGGCGCGCACAGCATACGGAACATTGGAATCGACTCACTCTCAACTCGGAACATTCATTAAAATAGCGACATGGAATACACTACGGACCAGAGTCATATATCAACATGTTTGATAAAATATATACAGTCGCACAAATAATCAACGAAAATGATGTGCATCCTGTGATGTTACTGTTGCTGCTGCTCCGTCTTTCCTTTCTCTTTGCCATTTTCCGCTGCTGATGGCAGCAGCAGAGAAGTGGCAACTCTCGCGAGCGCCACCGATTGATATGAAACACCAAAAACAAATACATATATATGACATATATATGTTTTTCGCATCGTATAAAATATCGCACGCGCTCAACTCACAATAGCGGTCCCGTTAATGCTGCCTGCCTGCCTGCCTGCCTGCCTGCCTGCTTTTGGCTTACGGCGACACGGTACAGCGACGACATATTATATATGAAATATATTCTATTTTCCCGTATCATTCGACTCTGTATGAGCGTTACAATTTTCCGAATCATCATCGGCATCTCTTTCGATTGCATTGTATCCATCCGTAGGTTGTTTATATGCGCGCTTCACCCCCGAGCTCAAATTATCAGTATATATATATGGCATTCTTTCTCTTTCTCATTCACTCTCTCACCTTTTCGATTTGAGATTTTCGTCGGGCGCGCACACCGATTGAAGAGAGATGATGGAAGCTAAACTTTCTGCCATCACAACTGTCAGCAATAAAATGATGATGATGGCGATGACGATTACAATCCATTCATTGACTCATTTCGACAAAATATTTATATACAATTGAGTTTGAAGTTTTTGTTATTAAATTTCAACTACACACTCTACTTCCTCAATATCACAAAAATCATATTCAGTTTAGTTTTTTGTTCCGTTTCGAAATTAAAAATATTGGTGATGAAGTGAGCAAGCGTTTTGGAAATTACTTTTCATCTGTTTATCATCACCATCATCATCATCATCACAGTCATCACAGTCATCACCATCATTATTCATTATTCATCATCATTACAACGGAACATAAGTACGACATTCGTCTCCATTCACTTTGCCAAATTTAAATAACCAAGCGTATACAGAATATATGATAGATGGAGAGAGGAAGAGAAAGAGAGAGAGAGAGAGAGAGAGTAAAAAGGCAACCAAAACATCTCAAGAGTAAAGAACCTTAAACGCGCGCGGACATCATCATCTCGCGGAACAATCGCAGTGTATGTGTATGTGTGCAAATATAACAGTATGAGATACTGTTTGAAGAGAAATAAAATATAGTTAATGAGAATTCCATTTGAAATAAATTACATGATTCGAGATTTATTCTCTCGCCCCGAGCCGAAAAGTAATTCGTTGACATTTCAATCGTTTTTGTTGTCTCTGTGTGTGTGTTTTTGTGAAAATCGAATCCACATTTCCATCGATGGAATGTCCTTCGAAAGTGTTGTGTTAAATTTATGTGATATCATTTTCAATTTCGAAAACTGAGCATTCGATCTGAGTCGAATGAGTGTATTACTGACATTAAAATATGGAATTATTTCGAGAATCAAATTCCATTTTGGATAATCACAAGTCGAGCGTTTGCTGTATTTATGCGCCAATCAATTGAAACTAATAGTTTTCAGTGTGCCAAAGAATAAATGACAAACAAAGTAATGTTGAAAGTAAAACGTAAATCATTTTGAATGGTTTTTAAAGCGACATTTAAGATGAAATTGGATTTGCAACAACAACAACAAAATAATGGGCTTTTTCCTTTTTGACTTTGTGTGCAACAGTGTGTTGATTTATTCGGCAATTACAAAATGAGCTTTCGCTATGGATTTCCATTTTCTGCGCATGCAATTGGAATGGTAAATGTCTCATTGGAGCTGCTGAACTGCAAT